TGCATGATGCCCTGAGTTTTATCCCCAGCACCACACACACACACACACACACACACACACACACACACACACACACAAAGTGCCCCAGGCTCCTACCTTTGGAGGCCCTTTTGTTTTTTGTTATTGAGGATGAAACTTAGGATCTTGCACTTGCAAGGCAAGCGTGGTTCGAGGCGTGCATAGTGCCACTGAGCTAAATCCCCAGCCACTGGAGGCCCTTTATGATTTCTGATGCGTATTTTATACCTGTTGCTCAGGGATCAACAGAAATGAGCCCCAGTTCCTCACAACAGGAAGTGAGAACCAGGTAAATGAGAACCAGTCAACAAGGACTCTCTATGGACTTTCTCTTGTCTGCCTGTCTCCCTTTCTCCTGCCTCCTGGGACAACATCTCAAATAAAATATTTGTACCAGGTCTTTGTCTCAGCTTCTGCTTTTCCCCCCACTGACCATCCAAAAACACTCTCCAAAGTCCCCAGGCCCTCTCTGATGTAGCCACAATGACACTTCACCATTTTTCCCAGTCCTTCCTTGCTCTCTCACACTTGTTTCACACTGCTGCTTCCTCCTCTCCCTGGGGAGACTTACACCAGTCAGATCCCAGCTCACTTGTTACTTTCTGTCTGAAACATGCCCTTCCTCAGGTCCAGTTAGGCATGACTGCCTACAGCAGCCATACGTTAGTCCCAGTGAGAGAGGCAACCACCCCTTCATATGGAATTGGGCAACTATGGATTAACTGTGTTATTTGGCAGCTATGGGTTAACTAGGTGACAATGCTCTTTGTAGAACGTACCTGAGTAGCCATGACAACTTCTGTAATCTGTCACCAAAGGAGCGTAACAGACTCAGAAAGTCCTGTCAGAACTCTGCTCTCCCCCTACATACACACCTGCTGCTCTGCTTGTGTAAATCCTGCTTGCTATAGTCCCAGGGAAAACTCCATTGAAAGTAAGCCTTGTAGATGTAAAAAGAAGAATATAAAGAAGAACAAACTTCTACTCGGGGCTCTGGAGACTGACGAAAGTCACTTGCTGAGCTGCCACCATTAAAAGCTGCTTTTTGCTCCTATCTTCGTGTTAAGAGTGGTCTGTCTGGGGTCCTCACAATTTCCTGCTTCACCAGCATTGGTCACACCAGCACTGATCACTCTGTAATTCCATGGCTGTTCACTTCCTTAAGCGTCCCTGGACTATAAGGATAAGATACTCCTGGCCAGCTGGCACTGTTTATTCCTCTCACTGCCCCAGTACCTAACAAGGTGCAGAGCAGAGTCAGTGCCTAGTACTTTCTGCTGAGGGAATGAATGAATAATGAACAAGTCAGTGAAAGTTTATTACTCATCTAGTCTCTTTGGACCTCAAAACCATCTCAAAACAGAACCACTGTTATCCAATGGGCAAAGTGGGAAGATACCTTTGAAGGCCATGCTGCTAAGAACTCTTATCTTTAAAAGAATTCCTTTGCATTAACAAGGAGGCATCTAAAAAATGCACAATTTGACTCTCAGTCATTTACACTTCCTTCTGCCTTGCTTTCCTCATTGTTATCTGAGTTCAGAAGGAAAGGGCTGGGTGGGGGAGGAGAATGAAAGCAGAGAGTAGTCAGAAGGAGGCTACCTGGAAGGAGTGGGGCTGGGATCTGAGTGCTGAAGGTGTAAACACAGAAATCAAACTCCTCCCTTTGAGTACCTTGTTCACAGGCTTTACTTTTCTAAGGCAAAGGTTCTCCTGGCCACAGATGAGAATTAGCTGGGCGAGCTTGTCAGACTACTCTTGGGCTTCCTCCATTATCAGTTCTTTCAGAATCTTGGGAATGGGGCCCCATATCTAGATTTTATTTATTTCTAGCTTTATTGAGGCATAGTACAATAAAATTCAGTTGTTTAAGTGTATAAATTTGATTAATTTTGCTAATTGCAAGCAGTTATGTAATCTCTACAGTAATCAAGATACAGAACAAAGGTACCTGGCCTTCTCCCTTATCCTCTTGTAGCTAATCCTTTACCTCAACTCCTAGCCCCGGGCAACCACAGTTTTCTAGAATTTCTGTTGATATAATTTTATCTTTTCTAGGCTTTTTTTGTTTTCTTAAATTCTTCTATTGTTACATTTTAGGTATACAATACGTTCACATTTATCATTGGGTGCTTGTACCTGTACATGATGTATCTTGGTTCTTATTTTTTCCCCATTCCCTGTG